CTCCAAGTCACGTAAGATTTCTCTGAAATGTTTTTATTATTAATACCTAATTCTTATTGTCTAGAAAACTTAATGATTTTTTGTTGTTGAACGAAAACTCCTATGATTGAATATTAAAAATGAATTTAAATTATAAATATTTGCGTATGTGTTATTTTAATGCTTAGATATACTCATCTATCAAGACAAGAAAAAAGAACGTTTAAAAACCAACTTTTGTAATGACACATTTATTTTTCGAAAAGTAAATAAAGCCAATCGTTTTGGTCCAACGAATACGATGCTAATTCTACTTGATTAATCACACGCAAAAAAATGTTCAACGACGTCGTAACGAGGCATCTTGTTTCCTGTCTAAAGAAAACGAAACACAGGTGAAAAAGAAATACAAGAAAATCCGTTTAGGATTCTTGTTCGTTCTCATACTCACACACACACATACATTTACGATTACCACAGTGTCACGCAGGGTTATATCAGTGACGTATTTGCTACATTCCAACGAAGGATGGCTTTTCGAGCCATTAATTTAGCGAGTATGTTCTACTCGACAGACAACGTTTCCTAATCGCGCTAAAATGCATCCTGCTAGTGTGATAGCACTATCTTCAAATGCAGCTGCATACGTAATTCTAGTGTGTCCTATTTCTATGTTTATTATTAGTATTAATAATTAATTGGCTTTTTTTCGGAGTCATTTTTTCATCGCTTTCAAAGGTTTTTTTCTTTTTAGTCACCTTTTACGACAAGCAAACATTACTGTGGGACTATTCTGTTCTTATCCTAGTCACACATAAAGAGTTTATTAGTATTATTATTATTTTATAACAGATAATAATTATTATCAAACCCATAATTAACATTGAAAGAAAATTTGCAGTTTAATTATGTACTTTGTTTTTAAAATAAGAATTTCATTGCGCTTTTTACGTATAATATTTATACAATAGTTACGTGCTCGTGTATTATATTATTAGCAGAAAAATAGATGTTCGAAATATGCAGCTATTAACTCATAGATTATTACTAGACAGATAGTCGTAAAAAAAAGAATAAAAATAAAAATGTAGAAATATCATCAGGGAAATCCGTTTTATAGTTTTTTATTTTACAAACTATGAAATCATCGCTATCTCTTGTATAGAAATTTCCTGCTCTCGCAGATAGAAAAAAATTCTTGAACTATTTAAAAGAGAGCTTCCTACTTTACTAACTCAAATATCATACAGGAGCATCCACAAATCTGTAATTTGTCTAGCTACTCAAGTATGACGATGTCGTTGGTTCATTTATCGTGTATCGTAAAACGTTATCGATTACGGTTTTCCGCTATATACACTCAATGTGATTATACGTACCATTTACAATGCATAGAAACGTATATATGTGTATTCGTTAGGAAGCTCGTTATGAACTGAACAATAAGTAGAGCGTATCTGATTTTATCGATTCCATCAACGAATATTACAATACGAAAATCTGAACATATTGTAATAAGCATTTATTTATATAGGTACGTAAAATATCTTCAGATATCTATTTAACTAAATATAAAAAATTATAACTATTTTGTCATGCTCAATTAAAATCATAACAACTAAGAACATAAATAAGAAATTAAGAATGTAATGATTATATCGATATTCTTAAATTAGAAATTCTATTATAAATAAAAGTCTATATATTTATTTTGTATAATGTAAAACATTATAGTAATTATTGCAATAATAATAAACAATGGGCATATATTTGAAATTGCTATAATAAAAGTAATTATTTCGCAATCGCCAATAATTATTATAATGCCAAATACATTATCTGCAATGTAACTAGTCAATTAGAACAGCTTCGATTAATAATTATATATATATTAATAGTTTGAAATAAGTAATGTGTAAAATATTTGAAATTATAGAGAGTTTTTAATTATATTTTTTTTGTAGTAGTTATATTTTTATTCGACTTTTTCTATAGGTAAGATATTTTCATTTAAATAATGAAATAAATAATGGAAGATAAAAATTAGAAAGTTATTGAATTATAAGCGGACAAAGAGCAGACAGACAATAATTTAAAAAATATCAAATGTTAGATGAGTGGTGAAAAAAATAGATATTCATCTCTGAATGATGAAAAAAAAATTAAATGTACGGACAGAGTCTACAGATTTATATATTAGTATAGATACGAATTATTATATATTATTAATCATAAATCAATACTATCTTTCTCTCTCTCTCTCTCTCTCTCTCTCTCTTTGTTTATCTATATTTATTTAATTGAATTTTTTTATATTATTATTTTAATTTTTTTGTTCACTATCGTTCATAATACATTGATAATCTTCAATTTAGCGATTTATCACGCTTCGAAAAATACTATTGGATTCCTCCTACCCCATTAAACGATACAAAATGCGAACAATATACTTCCGGGTATAGGTTTCAGATCATACCTTTCATGTTTCAATTCCTATCGTTATATCGAAGCGATATAATAGTAAATCCTTTGGTAAAAGATCTATACTAAAAGATCATTTTGAACACATGCGGGCTTATTATGACACCAAAAGAGTATCTACCCTCATCGATTTCATTTTTCAAAAGATGATACATCCGGTCGGGAAAGATGCCCGCACACACATATACACACACCCATATTATTGAAACTTTTTTATCCGCTTGTACTTTTACGATTAAACAGAAAGTTTGATACGTTTTAAAAAAATAACAGAGATAAAAATAGGATACATTCATAGATTTTACGAGGATGTATTGCAAACTTTTGAAACTGTCGAAAAATAGAAGTGTGAATATGACAAAAAAAAATATTTTTTCTATGTTAGGTTCTAAACTTTTCAATCTACCCAAGAATTTTTGTATAGTTTCAAAGGAAAAAAGAAGACAAAAAGAAAAGAAATAACAAATATGCAATAAAATATTAAAGATTAAAAAAACTGATAGATAAGCTAAAAAAAGACATTACTATTCTTGTTTTTCTATTTCCGTATATATAAATATTTACGTTAAATAATTGTTTATTTTTTCCTAATGTACTGTACGTGTATAAGATCTTCAATTATTTATCTTTTATTAAACAAACACATTTCAAATAAACTTGAAAGCATATTCAACATTTGCCATTTTTTATATATAGAAATAAATCATTATAACAATCATGTTAAAAGTAACTTCCTAGAACGATCATTGGATAAAAGTGAAATCAGCGTATTACAAGTGACGCGTGCTCTTGGATGCAAAGATGAAAGTTCAGAATCGCCGGAGAGATTTATGCATCAGCTATCATCATTATCATCGATAAACAAGAAAACGATTAGAGATCCTTTGCTTCTCTCTAACTCTTCGTTGAATATCGTTTTAGTTTATTAGAAGAAGCTTATAATAAGTGGATGATCCTTATATCTAATAATATCTCATAAATATCATAGACCCGATGTTTACGATAATTAACAAAGTTCGATCGGTTAATCGAAAAAAGAGGAGAATTGGAGCGAGAATATTCGAAGAGTGCAACGATGATGTTTACACACTTTGGTAGGTTATATCGAAACTCTGATTCATCTTTCCCTTTATTTAAACACAGTGGCGTTAAATTACAAGCGGACATCTATTAATTGATCATGTAGGTATTTACGTAGGTGATTATAAGCAGGGAGATGAAATTAAGGCCATCGGAAGGTAGACTTTTCTCGTTCAAGTTAAGTGGGTCGTTGTCGGTACGCCATTGACTGATTAGTTCTTTTACGAACTTGCTACTATCTCTTGCGTCACAGCATCGAAGTCGACGACCTAGTTTTTTCCACCACCGAGGTCAATTAACAGGAGAAAAGAAAGAAAAAAAAAAAAAGGAAGAGAAAAATCAATAGGATTCAAACAGTTTCTCTTTCTTTCCTTCTCCCTTAAATTTTGTTAGCACACATTTTTCTTATTTTTACATTGGAAATAATTATATACAATGGAATCTTTTTGTGAAGATTTTCATAACAAAAGATACTTATATCTGTTAAAACGAAGTCCTTGACATTGACCAAGGAATTTTATTTTATTGTTAGTCAGATTAAATTATTTCTTCGCTTATTATTGATTACTTATATATATACTCATAAGTATCCAAGTATTTTCTTTGTAACTCTTTCTTCTTGAATCGTAAAGTTCAAACTCGTATAACATTTAAGGATAAAATCGAAAAGAAATGAGTCGATACAAATACTGCTGAGATATTTATAGAAGAATTTAAACTTCAAGCTAGGAACTTTCATGAAATCGATAAGCTTTCATATATAACATAAACGCAAAAGAGGAGCAATTCTTTCTCTATCAGACAAAAGTTCCCTCGCTTTTAGACGAAATCGAGCGTAATATTTTCTAAGGCTTACCTATCTATTCGATTTCTATGTCATACTGACGGAAAGAGAGAAGATAAGAGCATGATAAATGGAGTTGAGAGTCGGTGTGGCCATTGAAACGCATTTGAAGGTGGAGAAAAAGCCGACGCGCTCATATATCCAACTCGAAACTCTAACTATTCGCCTCCGTTTAAATAGGATTTAACGTTCGGCCAATAACGTATGTTCAAAGTCCATTCACTATTTGATTTGCAATATTTAGCTGAATGTAATTCATCGGACATATTCGATCTAAAGGACTCAGACACCAAATAAGTGGAAAATCGGTGAAATTCAAAAAAATTCTGAAAAATATTTCTACTTGTACATATCAGAAATATTATTTTTGTAAACTATAAAAATTTTTATTCCATTTAATTTTTTTTTTTTCTTTTCATTTCTTTTTCGTGCAAATGTATAATATTATATATTGTATTTCTTGTAATGCTGAAAGGCAATCAATAAATCATTACTGCATTAAAATTTATTCTGATATCGATCCGAAAATATATACAATTTAATAAATAATGCAATCGATGTTTAATAAAAAAAAAAAAATAATAAAATCTAATATTATTGTGTCCTTTGTTTTTAGGGCAAAATGAATGGACCGGTGTATGCGTCCTCCTGTCCAGCACTACAATCGAATCTTTCTCTACATAGTTCATCATACTATAGCGAATACAGTGGCACGACCAGAAGACGACTGTCTTCGACTGGCGAGGCCGATACTTCCGCTACTTCGAGCTACGAAGGAAGCGATAGTTCCGAAAACAGCGACGAATCACGATTAGATCCGGTCAGCCAAATGGAACGTGAACAATTGGAGACTTTCTTTCGTGGACTTAAGTCACAGGTATCATATAAAACACAATGCATATATATGCTGTTCAAAATATGTGGACATAATTTTAAAAGTGGTTTCATATAATTATGTACACGATACTATCTTGTTTCCAAATTATAATCATTTTATTATTATAATATTATCAATGTAAATTATCGCAGAAATGTATTAGCAAATTTTCATACTTAGTCTTATCAACGACAAAATGTAATGAATTGATTAGAAATAATGTTTATACAGCAGACAAGAAGGTCGTACGTGAAATAAAAAACTTGCTTGTAAATTGTGAAGCAAGCATTTGGTTAAAAGACAACTGAAAGACAAATATAACTAAAATTTGGAAACAAGGTATTCATGCGGGAAATTGAAATAAAAATTTTTTGCAACTGACATGAGATAGTTAACACTTGATGTTATGATAAAATGAGTTAGGGATGCAATTGCAGAAATTAATAAAAATTCACATGAAATTCGTCATATCATAAACAATAGACTACAGCAATGTTATACTTGTATTTGAATAGGCGGCCAACATTTTGAACAGTACATTTTAATATTTTTACGATTTTGTGTAACTTTTGAATAAAGACGTAAATGTTTATATAACTTTCTTTTTTATTTTTAAACTTAGAATATACGCTTACAAAATTTACGCGAAAAAACTTTAGACATATTGTATATTGAAATGAAGAAGTGTAGCCTTTGAATTTTCTTTAAAATTCTGAACAATTCAATATATTATACGAAAATATATTTATTCATGAATGTTTGATATATATAGGTATATCTTATTTGAAATTTTAAACGAAATTCTATTCGTTATTCAAAATTTGTTTCTAATGGAACTTATTTTATTTCGAGTGAGACATCTTGTAATGGCCATCTTGTTTAGGTAAACATGTCTTCGAGATTTCAAGGCGATTATTATATTTTGAGAATTATAATTTTTATTTACTTATTTGTTTTTTAAATAAAACTATATGTTTTTACTTACATTAAACAGACTAATAATAAGTAGAAAAACATAATTCCTATACAAGAAAAAAAGTGAACCGCAACAAACTCTTAAAGGGACTTTCATTTAATTAAAATTTTTACCATAACGAAACATTCCCCTCGAAATAAAGTATGTTCTGCTTGAAACATTTGTTTTGAAATAACGAATATTCTGTAAGTTAATTGCGTTTAACGCTTTACATGGTACACTTTGTATATAGATAAAATATTTCAACATATTAACGTTTCTTTATCTTTATCCTTGAATTTACAGGTATTCGTATGCGAATCACTAGCAAACTTGTATCTTGGTAGCGCCTCGCAAACAGAAAGGTGGGAACTTCGATTCACTGGAATACCGGTCGTCGTCCTCGATCTTGGAGAGACACGATCAAGATCCAAAAGACGCATCCAGATTTTGCTAGCTGAGCGAGGCACTTGCTTCACATTATGGCGAGAAACTATCGATAATCTTTCATCGTATAAGGTATGCTTCCTCTTCTTTTCCATTTCTAATTAGAAAGATACTACATATAATATAAGATAACATGATATTTACATTATTTCGAAATCAAATAGAAACGAACATTTGTTTATTTATTAACTAAAGAAATTTTCAATTGATACACCTGAAAATGCATAAAATTGTTAATTAAAAATACAAAAAGAAAAGAATCTCTAAAGTTAAATATTTAATTATAATAAGAATAATAAAATCTTTGTAACGAGTTAATATTACTTTCTTATTTAATAGATAATAAATAAAATGAAAAAAAATACAATATAATATTACAATTTGATATAGGTATCCGGACCAGCATTTCACACGATGTGTCTCTCGTCGGACCACACACGTTTGGCTGGACTGAGTTTTGACAATCCGAAAGCAGCAAACGATTTGTGGCAGCACATAGAACGACTGGTCTCGTGTCCAGAGAACATAAGTCTTTCTGTGCCAGGTAAAAAGAAAAAGAAGGTGCCTCAAAAGAAGGTCGTCCTACCAGCGAAGAGCAATATAAGCCAGCCGTGCCAATTCCAGCACGTGACGAGCGTCGATGCTGCCGATCGATCGCGATATTTTTCCCTTCAAACGTTGGTGCCAGCCTTGAGCGAGCTAGAGAACTCCCTCGAGGCAAGTTTCTGAGTCACGGACAGCCTCGCAAAATCCTCGTAGTTTCTCTTAACCTCTTCACCTTATCGAATCGAATCTTCTTCCTTTTTTTCTTTTCTCTCTCCCCTTTTTTTTTCTCTTTCCTTTCTTTTCACAAAGAGAAAAGAAACTTTGTCGAGTTGAGAAAAGAGAGAAATAATGAGAGAGAGAGAGAGAGAGAGAGAGAGAGAGAGAGAGAGAGAGAGAGAGAGAGAGAGTTCCGTTTTAAAATGACGAGCATTGCTTGATTAAAAAGAAAAAAAATAATAATTTATTAAAGAAAAATAATCGATAATAGAAATCGATCAATTTTCATTTAAACAAAATCTATATTTACTTTATTTCGATAATTTTACACGAACTCTTCGATATTTCATCTAATTCATGATACGGATTTTTTTGTTACCGTTTATGATGAATATTGAATAAATGGAAGATTAAAATTCATTTAAGTTTTTGGGTGAATCATTTATTTTCGTTACCCAATATAGCTGTATAGATGAAATATCAAGTTATTTTTGAATTCTTTCAACAGCTAAACGTTGTTTTCCATCAATTTGCAATATGAAGATTAAAATTGGACTTTTTGTTACTTTTTGTTAATATTGTTTCATTTCGAAGTGTATTATTCGTCAAATATGAGTAACTACGATGACATTGCTTATATAATTTGAAAGAAGTGCTCGAAATTTACATTTAATTATTTTGCGTTGAATAATGAAAAACGAGCGTTTCAAACAAAAGAAGATATGTGAGGCGTGACAGAAAATGATAAAATATAATAAGCGAAAAAATTTCAAAAAGTAGCATTAAAAACTTCGTCGTTTCGTTTCTGTATATTCATTATTATACAATATTGTATATTATGTCATAACGATGAATGTTACTTTGACAAAATGTTAAAATGAGAATTTTAACATTTGAAACCTTTGAAATAAGAAAACCTTTGAAAATAAGAATTAAAATCATAAAGTTTCGATGTTTTTTTTCTTATTAACGAATTTAAATAAACACCTTAAGGGGTGGTTATCCGACGATACAATCACTATATAAACGTGATCGTTGAAATATCTGATCTTAGATATATCTATAATAATAAATTTTAAATCTAATAGACGTTCTATGATAAAATTCGTTTAATCATAAATCATCATTACAATGTTATTACATTATACGCGATATATGTGTGCGTAAGTTTAAAAACTCGTGTAATGTGTATGTAGATATACTTCTCATAACTTTCCCTCTTAAGATGTTATACTGTTTGTAGAAATTGTAACATTTCTCTCTGCGTTTGTTAACGCGATCTGCGTTTACGATTTTAGCCAATCATTAGAAGATTTCCAAGTAAAAATATTTCTCGTGATTTGTAATTTCCTTTTTTGGAACAGTCGATAAAGTTGATTGCTATCCTTCTGTATTTTAAAGCTTTCAATTATTAATATTTAAAACTTATAAATAATAATTAGAAAATTTACAAAAAAATACAAACTTGTCGGAAAATCAATGTCTCGATAAAAATTTGAAAATTATATCGTCATACTTTTGAATATTGTAATATGTCTACGATCTACGATGGAAGAAACGTTTAATAAAATAATACAGTTTCCGTTATTATCGATGCATGTAACAAGTGACAATCTTTATGATCCAAAGTAGCAAACTTTTCTTCTATCTTGGTGTTAAATTTTATCGGCTTAAGAAACAAGTAATGTGTTAGTCTAAAATATAAATGAAAAGTATTTCTCTTTGAAAATTATTCAAAAAATAATTATTGATACGTATTATCTTACCGATAATAGAGGGTCTCGGCTAACATTACAAAATATTTCGTATGCAGATTGCTAATTAACAGCGATTGCAATAAGACTGGTCTTACCATCCACATTAAAAATATTCTACAGTTAATAAACGTGGATCAAAGGACATTTTTATATGTCGAGCTATCATTATAGATTATAGAAGTATCACTTATTCTAATATCATTTTACTTTTTGAAATATGTATATGTTAAGAACAAATCATTTTTAATTTTTAAGAATATATAAGTATTTCATTTTACTGATTATCTCGCCAATCAAATTAATTATACTTAAGATTAATTAGATTTAACGATGCGTTGTAATCTCAATGGAATTTACACTGCGATTCTGTTAAATTCAGTATGATGTTTTTTGTACGAGCATAATCGTAATCAATTGATTAACGAATTTTTAAGTTACGTAAATTCTAGAAAGATTTTAACGTTTTTATGTAAACTATCTTCGAAACATTAATTAGTGTTAATTTCTTTATCCACGACTGTGATATAAATATATTTGTATCGTTACGTTTCATAATATGTATCAGCATTAATCATTGCGAATTAAGCAAGATCATAAATATCGTTATCTATGTAACAATTGTGGTAATAAATAGTATCTTAAATCTTAAATCAATTTCATTAATGGGATTATACTATAGAAAATAAAGAAAAATTACACGATCCTGAAATTTCCATTCTTATTTTCCTAACGCATTCTATATTATCGATAGAAATTAATTCTGTACGTATATCAACAGATGACGCTCTAATAAATTTTTACTACAAAACAATATCTAATTTAATAAATAAACCGTATATTTTGAAAGTGGTCTAAGTCCATTTTATTACTTTTGTTGTTGTTGAACGTAATAATATCTACAATTGGAAATTAAATCTCATTAAAAAAAATTACGCGGAAAAAACAAAAAATGGACTTCAGTTACTATCAAAATAAACGACTCAAATAATCAAGAATAATACTTTTATCGTAATCACGCTTAATTGAAAATGAAATAAATTTCAAATTATACATGAGAGTTAATAAATATCATATTATTATTAATTTTAAAAGTAAGTATATGCTTTCTATCAATTCATAAAACAAATTAAATTAATATGTTTTATTTTAAATCCAATAATCTTTAGTTTATAATTAAAATTCATACTATATTGTAATCTCGAAAAATGAAAAGAGGAAAATTATAATGATTATGAATTATTGTTTGGATGTCTAGTTTTTATCTAATATAAACGTATTCATAATGATCGCATTATTATTATCGTTACTTTTGCAGTAATTAATGGGGGTTCATAAATTTATAAATTGACGGTCTCATTAGTTCGAACTTTGAGGAAACTCTGTTAATTTCTAATTACATGAAATATATTCTATGCATTTTATCAGCATGAGAATATTCCATTGACGGAACCATTCAATTTAAATCATTTCCAAGTGTGTTAACACCATCAATAGATTCAATGTTTGTATTGTAATTTGTGATAAACTGTTGCCATTTCTCATACGTACAATAAAATTCATGACCGGATATCGTAGGTCATCGTGAACAAAACGGAGATAGGAGAAGATTGTTTCTTAAATATTCCAAAGTCTCAAAAAATCCATCGTTTCCATTTTAACAACAAAGGAAATTCACTATGCAAATGTCTTAAAAAATCTTGTCGTGTACAGTGGGTTTCTAATTATCCATACGATATTGTAACTAACGTAAAAAATAATGAAGCAAAATAATATTAATATCTTTAAATTACAGTTTTTTTTTACGCGGAATTGATCTGACCGCAATTCTTTAATTATTATTTCATTAGTTCATTAATCATATTTAGAGAAACAGGACAAAGAACATCATGGTAATTAACAACGTTTGCAGTCAATTATAAAATAATGGACAGTAGAATCTCAAGCATTTTTCTAATCAACGAAGTAAAAAACAAAGTATTCTTTTTATAACTATAATAAATTTAAATATAAATTTAAATTCTATATTATTGAATCTGTAACAACACAAATGATAAATTTAATATAATAATAAAAATTAAATTAATTAATAATAAATTAATAAAGTTAATATAAATTATAAGTTAATAAATTTAATATAATATTTTATAAAAATCCTATATGTCTATTGTATCTGTTTACTTTATATTTTTAATATAACGATTAACATAAAACATTCAGTAATTTAATTACAGTCAATCCAATTTATATGAAAATTATTATACATCTACTAGGAACGCGTGTACCGTCCTCCAAAGTAGTTGTCTAATAATTTTTTAAGAAGGATGTTTCTTAATTGAGGTCAATGAAATCATACTTTTTTTTATTATTTTTTTTTCTACGACTTTATAAGTAATTCTGATAAAATACTCGTTTACGAAAAAAATGATAGATATTTATTTTGTATTCAAAATTTTCAATCTTTTGCATTTAAATATTTTTTACGTTTAAGTTAATTACTTAGAACATACGAATAAATAGAGAAAAATGATGCAAAATCAAAAAATATAAACGTTTTATTAAATATTTATATATTTTCATATTAAAAGAATATTATTTTATTCCAAAAATCTCTATATATTCACCTTATAAATAACAATTAGATTAATAATAATTATAAATTTCTAATAAATACAAAGCTACTTTTCAAAATAATCTTAACAACAATAAATGATTATTAAGCATCTAAGCCTATATACAAGGTATAAATTATCACTAACAGTGTATCAAAAATTCCTATAAAAGAATTTTAAGTCAACAAATCTCACGTTAGTAGCAATAAAAAAAAAGAAGTATTAATATATATATATATAAAATACATTAAAGGTGAAAGAAACTATTTAAGTTAAAGAATTTTTTGGAGATCGTTAGACGATATTCATTTACATATATATAATACATAGATGAGCGCTTGAAGATACACGTATAAATACACGTACAAATATTCAAACACACACATTCCTGCACACATGCACACGTGTACATACACACACTTACACATATACACACATAAATAACTTTCATAAAGAGATCCCGTTTTCTTGGATGTCGCGACGCCAAGATGGACTCCATCGGTTGCGACGCCTCGTCGTGTTCTCCGTCGAGGCGCTTTGGTATAGCTTCAATGCTTCCCTCCATCCTCTTCGCCTTTTCATAAGCATCCTACAACCTCTACCACATCACCACCACCACCTTCTCTATCTCCACCTCTTGATACTCTCTGGTGCCCGCGGATGGTGAACGCACGTTAGTATAAGCAAAAGCAACGTAAAACACACAGAAGAGTCGTCGTTAAAAAGCCTTCTCGTTTGTCAGTTTCGAACAAGCTAGCAGTGCGAGTTAACGCATCAACTCGCTCATCCGCCTAATAGCGTTACTCTTTTCAAAATATTCGGGTCCACTTCTTTATCTTCTTTATCCTCTTCTTCTTCTTCTTCTTCTTCTTCTTCTTCTTCTTTCTTGTTTTTCTTACATTCTTTCATATATCTTTAGTTTTATTTTGTTTTTTTTTTCATTTTCGGTCAATTTTAATATATTCTTATTTCTTTTAATTCTTATTTTTTATTCTTATTTCTTCTTTTCTTTTTTTTTTCAATAAAATAAATTCTATGAAAGATAATAATTTTTATACTGGTTAATAATATACACTTACGTGAAATTCTACACTTTCTCTCCTTACTTTTTCCGAGTAAAGTGACTTTCGTCCGCATTTAGACGCTTTATCGTTCACCAAACTCTCTTCGTACATTGTCGCGTTTATATTTTCTTCGTTTATGTTAACCCGACATTTAACAAACGATGAATTTAAGAATCTTAATTGACAGCATGTAAACTTTCTTTTCGTGAAATAAGATCGATCATAAAGATAAACAGTATTTCGATTCTAAGCTTCGGTTCAATAGGATCACTTTGTTGTACGAAAATCGATCGAGTGTCTATCGTTTAAATTTATTAATGTAAGTGATTTTTGTTTGACGAATAAAAGAAAAAACATTTCGAAAATAAAAACTACTTGTGGCAACGTTGATCTTCAAGCAAACAATCAGGTAACGTTATATCGAATTATAATATTTTATTTTCCATTTAATCTTATCAATTTCAATGGAACTCTATAAAGTTATAACAAATAATTAAAATCGTGTTTTATCCATGTCAATTCTTAATCAGTCATGCATATATAATAAATTCGAGTATTTTAAGTTGATAACAAGTGTTTAATTACATTAATTCTTAAAGTAAATTCAATAATGTATAAACTTTGATAAAAAGAAAAAAATTTACATTTTTATAATGATCGATGATGGATCGGTTGATTGAAAGTACTTAATATCTTTTCACTTCGACGAACATGCGTACACGTATACATACATACATATACACATACTTACATAGATACTTAAAGGGGAGTCACAGAAAAGGCTTAATGTAAGCATTACTAGAAAAACAGTCGTTACTACTTTTTTCGTTGACTGTACAAGAGGTTGCACGACCGGAGCAATATACGTTTAAAGAATGAATAATTGTAGAATGAGTCAGCGCATTCTAAAAAGTGTAATTGGTTCAATCGTTTTCTCCTAACTTCTTTTTCAGATTTTCGTATTTCACGATCTTATCCAGGTCGTGTTTTCCTCGATATTACATTATCTAAATTAATCCTTTGTTTTTATTAAGCAACACGTCTGTCAACGAAAGACAAAACAAAACAAGATAATTTTATGATCGAATTATTTATCAAACGATAAAATTAGTTGATATAAATACATCGATGAAAACGAAAACGACTACAATTTTGAAAAAGGCATTTTATCTACCATGTGTAGAATCTCGATTTTCTGAAATTCAACACGTGACAATTTTCGTGAATGAATTAACAACGGATGCCACATTTGTTTTCCGTTTTTATTCGTGTTACATCTCGCGAAATTTAAACTAGATGTTTTATATATATATCTGTACATAAATATGTATAATTTTTTGTTATGACAGATTTAATTGCTTTTGCTTTTAAGTTTCTCTCTCTCTCTCTTTCTCTTTCTTTTTTTCTTTCTCCTTTCGTTTCTTTGATTTTCTTATTCGCAGCATATTTATACAATAAAATTTTCCATTTAGCGAATGGTTTCGTAAAATAAAGAGATCAGAGTAAAGTTGACAAACGGCGTTAACACCCTCTATTGCGATCGTCACAATATTTAAACAATTCACGAAATTCTATTCGTTGTAGCCAAATGCTGTTATGGATGAAGTTCAATGTGTTTTCGAATTCTTTCGCGAAACCTGTTCTCTCTCTCTCTCTCTCTCTCTCAAAATTTCGTTTAACACATGTTGCCAATATCGAGTAGTTCGTCTCGACAATTTTACGATTATGTTTATTTAAAGATCTGTTAATCTGTTAACTTCTCTTGTGATAAAAGAATAAATCAATTTTATTTTTATCATTTACATTGACTCTACGTCCGTAACACTTTTTATATATATCATGGTTACTTTATTATTTAAAATTATATTTACTTACGTGTAACGGGTTATATACGTTCAAACAATTACAATTGTCCTTAAAAAGTAGCCATTTATTTTTAAAAATAAGAGAAACGTAATATATATTATATAAGAAAAGAATATAAGGAATATAATATATGAAATATTTGCATAATATGATATTATTATAGATAAAAATAAAATATGTTTGGTTGTAAAATAATTTCTAATTTTTTTGCGATGAATTTCGGAGTAAAACTTCTTGTAAAAAAGTCTAAAGAAGTTTAATTCTGTAGACCGCGTTGTCCAAGATCAATACAACAAGAAGAAATAATTAGAAACAGGGAACAGTTAGAAAGTTATAAATATATGGATATTACATAAAAATGAACATTAAGTTAGGCTAATACTCGTATGGATTAAGACTCTGAACTGTGGTTCTTTGTTTATTTGTTATATTTTATATTCATACTATAATATAAAAATGTATGCGTAGTAAATAAGATAAGATGCGTAGAGCTCATTTGCTAAAATACAATATGATAAAATCTTTGCCAGAAATATTTTACTTTCGACTACAAATTACTAAAAGAACATTACACATATCCACTTATTGATTTATCTAAAATTTTCTATCTCGTTGATAAATTTTATATCGTTATAAATAAATAGTATGCATTCAAATTTATTAATCAGAAATCTTTGCAATGAAGAAGTTAATTTTTTTAACTTTATTGATAGTCTAGTCATCGAGTGAAATGCTAAAGTTCACTAATTGATACGAAAATGTTACATAATTTTTAAAGATATAAAAAACATTTGGTATTTTATTGAAACGAATCGTATACTTATTACATTCGACATGTTTGCCTAATTCACTGTGATTACAATTGTATACACGTGTTTTATCGTGTTTGTTTTTTTTTCACTACAGCAAACCCACTAATCTGCGACAGATTAAACTTTATTTATTCATTTGTTCTTTTTAGAAATATTGAAATTTATCTGTTATATTTTTTTTCGATGTGTGTGTGTTATTAAAGAGCTCATAATAAAAAATTTCGCGCTTTAAACAATTTCTAAAAAACGAATAAAAAAAATTATTAGGAATTTATCACTGAATTCTAAATAATAAATTAAATTATTGTACAAATAATAGTTATAAGTAAAAGGTAGATTAACTTATATCGAATTAACATAACAAATATATATTATTTTATAAACTTAATCTTATCATTTTGCATAACTATTGATTTGACTCATAATTCTGTTGTAATAAATTCTATTTTATTAAGCTTTTAAATTATTAGTATATAAATCTTATATATGCGTATAAATAAATCAGCATATTTCTAAATATTATTTTTCAAAATTCTACTCTTATAACTTATTTATAAATTATATTATAAAAATTATTACTATAAAGAATAAAACAAAACAAAATTAATTAATCGAATTAACGATTATTTTATTTACGATACTTTCAAAACGTTCGTTCAGTTCAATTTCTACATTATATTATCCATTTATCATATATTCATATTCGCTATCCAAACCTGTATAGCGAAGGTGGTCGATTTGAACCATGTAATGGACACGCGCTTAAGATCACTTTACGCATCGCACTAAGCGTTGCGTCGGAGTGCGAAGATATTCTTTCGTATAGATAAATGTATTAACGAGTATATTTGATCCACTCTTATATAGAATATGTGTGTGCGTAGACATTATTATTCATGATGTATACGATAGATCAAGCAAGTCGATGCAAAACTTAGCTTTAATTCGAGTCGGTCAAGATGCAAGGACGTAACTTCATAGTTTCATTCTCATAAACGAGATTCTAATCATATATTACGTTATTATTTAATATCTCTGTTTCTATTTAATCCTCTCTTTCTCTTTCCATTCATTTGATTGTCGCATAACAATGCATTTAATTGACAAAGCGTATATTTTGACGAACTTAATTGCGTCTTGATCAATTACGAGTTGTTAGTATTTTCTCAATTGATCCCGCTTTGACTGACAAAGAAGATAACTTTCTTTAATTAAAATGTAGTTACAATTCTTAAGATCAAATTATTTCGAAATATTGTCTCTTTTATTAATTTCTATTTCTTTTCTTTTCTTTTCTTACTTCTAAATTATACAAATGTATATAATATTAATCGAGAGAAAATATTAAAATGTTTCAATAAATTTTTTTAACGAATCATGACTTACATTTATAATTTTATCCTAATAGACTCGTCAAGAGAACAATAGTTTCTCGCTAAATGTGATATGTAATTTTATTCTTAAATCAAACTATAATTGTATGTTACTTTATAAAACTTTTTACTAAATTTATTCACTACTGATATATTACTCTCTAATGCGTAAATATTTCTTTTAATCCTATATCGACAGGATGAGTACTTTTTAAGCATAAATACCTATTTTAATTATCAATTGAAATTGTAAATAATAAAATAAATTATCAAATAATATTCTATAAAGACCGTGAAGAGTACTAATAAATTTATTAAAATTTTTTAAATAACAATAATATTGAAAAAAAATCACCCATTATGTTGACGAAGGATTAATAAAATTGTATATATATATACTTTTATCTCACGAAATGCTAAAAATATCAACATTTTCTCGAATAAACGGTAAGTAAGATTGAGGCGCCTACCTCGGAAAAGATAGGACATTAAAGTTGTCTGCAAAAATTCACAGGGGTATAAAGGGGAGCCTTGATTGTAGCTTAACGCCAATCTTGCGCAGATTCCACGCTAGTTGTTAGTCATAATTAGCCCTCAGCGGGCGTGATAACTATAATCAAGAGGTAATAACTGATGGAACACCTTCTTTCTTTGAGGATTGTTAAGCGTTGCCATTCGCTGTTACCTGCAGATAACTGCAATTGCAAGATTGTCTCTCGCTCTTTTTCTCACGTTTTCTCCTTGTCCCTTTTTTGCTCTCTCTATCTCTCTTTTTCACTGCTAACCAACGCTTTCGAATAGGTCGTTAACTTCGAGCACGTATGAATGAAGCGTTCGTTGTCAGTTCCAAAGTCCTTCGTGACACGTTACATGTAACTCTTTTGTATATCGTGTAAAACAAGAAAATCTTCAACTTGTTAAATAAACTGAGAAAGTATAATTATTTTTCAATAAACAAGAGACATTTTATCGGATAATGTGAATGCATAAACAGGTATAAAAACAACAGTAAACATCAAATGCTAATGACTCGACGTCAGAATTGATTTTTTTTCCTACAGAAATAAATAAGGAAAAACAAATATGCAAGTTATGAGATAAACGTTGATTCAAAGGTCAATGCGACGTTCCGAAGAAAAATATTTTTCATTTTTTTTACACACTCCTTCGATGTTGAGCAAGGAACCGTTAGACTCGTTGGTATCGTTATATTGCTTTCGAAAAACTCGTTCATACATAATATATATATACTTGTGATATTATATACCTGCCTATATAACAAAAGTGGTCCTGGTTTCGTATAGGATAAAAAATAATATGAATATTATACGAATAGGTAGGACCCCTAATAAAAAATTCAATATTCAAATAGAATGAATAAATAATATTTAATGAAGTAATAAAGTTAAATATATCTCTGAACCTTACTATCGACAACCAATGTGATTTCACATATTATACACGGAATAATTTTGTTATTTGCTATACGAACCAATTTAAATATCAATATAGATCAACGATCATTCAAATTTTTCGTTCTTCCTTATGTTACAGATAACAAATTATCGTGAAAAATTGGACGTAATCTTTACACGCTAACCAGTGAAATATCAACGAAACCAAACAGTGATATGAAGAATACGCAAACTAATGGATATGGTATGAATTATTCCTTCTTTTTTTTAAGTCTTTTTTTTCTTTCTTCTTCTTTTCTTATCTCCAACATTCGGACAGATCGGCGTAAAAATAAAAAAAAAAAAGAAATGAAATAAAACAAATATAAAAAAAAAATACGATTGTATATATCGAATCAGTTGAAAGAAAATTTACGACGTTATTATCAGCAAAGTTCGATTAATCGAGACGAGTAGCAATGAGCGACCGCAAAATATACATTGATTCCAAGAAAATCGATCTCGAATCGAGGAGGAGCATGCGCAACAAGAAAGGCTTGTGTCGAACAACATAATGCTTACATGCATATGTATGTACGCAATGTACACAACGCATGTACGCGTGTGTGTGGTCGACCTTTTACGTCTCCTAAGAAGGAAAACGAAATATGTACTGCGCTTAAGATGCGAAGGCTAAATATCTCGAGGTTAACGTGCATGTTATAGTTCGTATACACCTTATTCACCTTTTTATTATTATTTTTTCTATTTTTTTATAATTTTCTTCTTGTTTTTTATATTTTTTTCATACAGACGAGTTCGTTTTTTTTTTCTACCTAGTCTCCACGAATCGTATTAATCGTGAACGTTATTTTTCCTCTTAAATAATGATCATCAGGAGATCCCGGTCTAAAACTTGAACGATATTTACAAATAATATCGCAGGAAATTTATTGTCGAAGGAAATCGGGTTTTCCGTGATTTATTTTCAATAATTCTTCTAAATTTCTGATGCAATTTCATTGGGACTTGCTATCATATAAATTATAATTTATCGATATAATCGTTGTTTTATTATTATTATTATTATTATTATTAACGCTACTTGGCATAAACGGTACAAGCTAAATGCGTAGAAACTTCTAGAATTGGTTATTTTATTTTGTTTTTTTATGTATTAGTTTCATATATAACATTTGTTACGCTAGTGGTAGATACACAATGCAACGTAATGGAAAACACAGAAAATTATACTGTTAGTATTGAGTAATGACTATCAATAGCCTACTTTTCCTTAAACATGTGTTGATAATTTTAATTCTACGCTTCAAGTCTTTTTTCTAAATAAAAAATAAAATTATTTATAATAATAAATATAAAAGAAAAGAATAACTACAAAGTAGAATATAGTAAAATAATTGAAAATCTGAACCATTCAAAAGCACGATGCATCGAGAATGTGCAAATAATTAATAAAATACAATATTTTGTAACACTTGGTCCTTTGTAACGATTCTTCTACTTTGTATTCGTTTGCTATAACTATAAGACTTATTATGTACATTCGTTAAAACATAATTACGTGAATCGAAAAAGATCTTTTCTTTTGTAATTTAAATAATGCGGCCTTACGTTTTGAGTCACGTGCATTCGCATTGTGAATATAAATTCGATTTACGAAAAGGTAGAACATCTGTCTATTCTCGACAATGAGAAACAATACTATCGGCGAATAAAATCGGGACGACCTTCCGCGAAAATATCTTTTCTTGATTTATATTGTTCAGGTAGAACTTGAATTTCAAATGACTCGAATTCCGTCCGTTTTTCTCCAATGATTTCTTGATCTAAATTCCAGTGAACTTGCTTTCGTACTGTGCAAGCATACACGAGTAAAAAGATGTATAAAAGAAGAAACAAAAGTAAGAATAAGTAAAATACTTGTCGACCTTCTTTTTCTTACAAAGTAGAACTCAACTTTATTGCTTGTCATAAATTATTTTTCTTTTTGTAATTTTTTTTAATAAGCTCCTGATAACGCTGTATTTCCCCTTAAGACGGTATTATAACAATAATAATTGTCATCAAGGAATGTTTCACGTTTATAAAAGTTTTATCATCAACTACTAATTACTACTTCCGCGTAGTAAGTTTACGCGTCGAACTAGCGACGAATCAAATGTCGTCGGCAAGTTCTTTCGCAAATGATAAATTGTTCACACGTGCTAAAGAGTAGTCGAGTAGATGATAAGCACTCGGTAGATAAACTCAACCAATCCTGAGAGTTTCTCATACGCACACCCACTTGTTGCACAAGAAAACGACGCAACTCTGACGTCAACGACACTCCTACTCTCGGTAATACACTCTTCATATGTACATTGTCATATTATACAGATGTATACATGCCTATATATATATGTGCATACGTAGACAGTACAAGTAAGTAAAATACGATTACGAACGGCGAATATTCAATAGTAAGCAAATTAATTCAAATCACATCACAAATGAAATATCATTAATTTATCTTATAAAGCACGAATATTTTTCATTGGATTGACCATGCCCAGGACAATGATCCCCATAATGTGTGTGTATTTATATGTGGTCGATATTTCAAACATTAATATCTTGAGAAAAATTTGCTTCATTTAACAACACAGCATTGAATTAAATATATTTTTTATCAATCTAAAGTTTTCAGATAAATTGAACAATTTCCACATGTTTCTTATTTTAAAAGTGTTAACATGAAAAGTTTTTTTATGATAAGAACTATGATAATTTAATAATAATAAACTGATGGTGTTAAGTAATTGTATATTTTATTTATCTAGAGTTTTCAAATGATCAAGGTTAGCAGAAAAGAAAGAAATTTTATCATTGTAGACTAATAAAAATAAAAATAAACTTTAAATAAGTTAGTCTTTATCGTATCTTTATCATCAAAATTTAAAAAAATATATACACATTTCCTTAATCGTAATATATTACATGGATTACATTTAATTACTTAGATAATATTTTTAATCCGAGTTAAATTTCTTTGCTTCTCTCGAATCTCGAATGACTTTTCTTAATGTGAGATAATAAACGTAAGATTATCAATTTTTATATAGCCATTGTTGAAATTAAGCTCTTAACAATAAAAGATCTGATGATATGTCTATAGGATTAAGATATGTCTGATCAATGTATTCACATTTACATCTGAATTACCAATACGATTAAAATGAACAAACATTACATCCCTACAGCGAAGATCGGAAGCTCTTATTGTTCCGATGACTATGCGAAAGTAATGACTGAGCTGAAAACACTGTTCATCTGTTGAACTCTTGGGATTTAACCCGCAATGTAAACTTTCAATCATTACCACCGCAATAATACTTACATATAGCAAGGACCAGGACTTGCCCGACGTGCTTCCTAATCCCGCGATAACAACTTAAGTCGCAGATTATACTTTGTGTAACAAGCCACTTCCAATCGAGGTTGTTAGTCCTACTCGGATATATGGAATCAATACTTTCAAAAGATCTAGACAATGCTTTAATCTTTCTTCCACCTGTCGTATTCTTTTGTAAAATGTCTACGTCAACAAGATCATAAATACATAAAAGATGTAACTAGAAAAAACCATTACCTGTCTAACAAAACTCCTTGTAAGGCATACACTATAAATCACGTAATTAGGGAAATATTTATTTAAAAATATTTTATCTATAGATAAACAAAAAAACACTTATCTTACAGTTAAATGGTTGACATCGCTAATTGCGTCTTGTATGCCTACTTGTTTATATATGTTCAGTCGGTAACCATAAAAACAGAGTTTTCTCATCAAATTCGGCGATCCACCAGTTTTCACAATGTTTGTTTAAACTCCGTCTTCATTTCCCAGAAAAAGGTAAAAAGAATTCTTAACTATTGAATCTTAACTGAATGAAAAAAAGCAGAAAAATCGAAAAACTACTTGCGAAATGTTCCTCGCCAGGTACAGAAAAAAGTAATTTCTCCATTACTATTTATTTGCATGAATGGGACACACACTTGCTGAGCAGCGCGTTACTTCTTATGAAAATGTACGAAAATGACTCGATGACTGGTTTGCCTCAAAAGAACAACAATTTTTTTTAGCATTCACAAATTGTCAGTCAGGTGGGAAAAATGTATAGCTAGCGATGAGCACAATACTACGAATAAAATATTTTTTATCATTTTCATACAATAAACGCGTATTTTCTATACAAAAATTCCAGTTTCATATTTACATACCTGATATTAAGACGGTTCGACTAATATCACTCGAGACACGTATGATTTGCATAACGAATATGAAAAATACACTAAAATTGCATTAGGATAACCTTGTTCCATTTCTTAATTAATCTTACTAGTGTATGCGCTTTTGAAGGAACGTTATATGATAGCCATATCATAATTTTGATTTATTATAACCTCACGAAGAAAAAATATGTAAAATATTTCCCTAATTTTTATCTACACTAATTTAGTTCTGTATTCTATAACTTGTTAAATAACAAAGTTACTATGAAATATAAAAATGATGATGTTAATGATGGTGATAATAACAAAGTATCAAATATCTTAAATACGCCTATTGCAACATTATCAATGAAAAACATTTTTTATTTTTTTAAATACCGAATCCAAAAGAGGAAATAAATCATTTTCTTTGTTTTCAGCGGATGTGAACGTTAAACAAGTTCAAAACGGAAAAGATAGAAAAGTCGACGAGGACTATGGCGAAGACATTGACGCCGTGCAACAGGCAATCGGTGATCTCGGAAGATGGCAAATCCTCGTTTGCCTGGCGATCTCGCTCGTTAAGTTTCCAGTTGCTTGGCATCAACTGGCGATCGTCTTCATGGCACCTCATCAAAAATACAATTGCACGGCACCAGCAAAAACGAAATTATTAGATCAATGTATGGTCAGCATTAATGAAACAAATATGGAATGTACAGAATGGGAATACGATAGAAGTATATTTCCAGAGACTGTAATATCGCAGGTATTTTGCAAATTGTCTTACAATGTTTTTCTGTAATATTTTCTATAATTTATTATCGTTTTAGTGGAATTTAGTGTGCAGTAGAACACACTATGCTAATATACAACAATCGATTTTAATGTTCGGTGTACTACTTGGAAATGTCATTTTTGGAAGCCTGGCCGATAGGTACGAAACAAAATGTATACAAATAAAATTAACTATTCAAGTAATCAAATAAATGATTACACCGATAATTTCATTTTTTACGTAGGTACGGTAGAAAATTACCTTTGATGGCCTCAGTCATTTTACAACTGACTTCAGGTATCGGCTGTGCTGTAGTTCCATGGTTTCCAGCGTTGTTAGCACTAAAATTACTCAGTGCCATGGCTACAGGTGGAACAATGGTCACTAGTTATGTCATTTGTAAGTTATCTTACAACTTTGTTCTATTTTAATACTTTCATTTAATTTATAAAGAATGATATTTAAAAATCTATCATTTTTCTAGGTATGGAAATAGTCGGTACACAGTGGCGAGCAGCTATCACTGTACTTTATCAAATTCCTTTTAGCTTAGGACAAATGTCTTTGGCTGGAATCGCTTATATGTTTCGCCATTGGCAACACCTTCAAATTGCCATTACGGTACCTTCTATTATTCTCTTAAGTTATTGGTGGATCGTGCCTGAATCACCAAGATGGTTACTTGCCATGGGTAGACAAAAGGCAGCTTGTAAAATTTTAGAAAAAGTAGCTATTATCAATAAGATAGACAATAAAGACATTCCAGATACAGTTAGAAGACATTGTCTTCATCAGGTATGTTTATTCAATACAATTTAATTGTAAATTACTATATTATTACTATTATATTTCACACACAAACAATTAAGTAATTTTCTCGTGCTATTAGAATTCCAGAAGAACAGCCCAGGATCATAATGCATCTTTCCTAGACTTGTTCCGCACACCTAACATGAGAGTGAAATCATTATCGATCTTTTTTAATTGGATTGTTTGCGGAATGGGTCTTTTTGGAATGTCACAGTACATTGGTCAAGTAGGCGGTGATATTTTTATTAACTTTGCTATCTCTGGAGCGATACAAGTACCAGGAAATTTCGTAGCTTGGTGGGCAATGAACAAGTTAGGCAGAAAAGTAACTTTAATTAGCAGCAACGTAATAGCTGGTATTTCTTCTCTCGCCCTCATCATTGTACCACATGGTAAAACCTCATAAAATATATAGGATGTTTCATTGAAATCTATCAATAAAAAAATTGGATTTCTTAATTATAAAAAATATGTTCATAAATTTTTTAATTCAGATAATGATTTTATATTTATGATTTCAATTGGTTATTGATTGCAAACCAATTAACATTTAAACATATTCTGTAATAACAAAGAATTTCAATGATTTGTTAATTAAAAATATTTTATCTTTTGACGAAAGTTAACTTAATCTTTATAACTAATTACCATCTTTTTTTCAGATCTCGCATGGCTGAGACTAATCCTCGTTTGTTTCGGTATTGTCGGCATGTCGGTAGCTTTCACTTCGGTTTATCTTTTTTCGGGCGAATTATTTCCGACAGTTGTTAGAAACATGGGTGTTGGTACTAGTAGTATGTGTGCAAGAATAGGTTCTATTGTGGCACCTTTTGTCGTATCTTTGGTATGTTAAAACATAAAAAACAATTGTTTAATTGTGTCTGTATTTATTTTTATACGTATAATAAATAACAATATTATTTACATATATGAAGAATCACGTAGCAGAATGGTTACCACCAATTATTTTTGGATGTCTGCCGATTATGGGAGCTATGCTTTGTCTCTTGTTACCAGAAACAGCAGGATGTACACTTCCGGAAACGCTTCAAGATGGAGAAGATTTTGGCAAGTAAGTAAAACATGTTCGCAGGATGAATAATATAAATAAAATGTTAATAGAAACTTTCATAAACTTCGTTTTATTTTACAGAAAACCTAAGAAAACAAAGATAACGAATGTAAAAGACATAATGGAGCATAATGAAGAGGAAAAATCTATCGTATAAGGACAATCAAAAAACTTCAATTGACAAATCTGTTATCGTACAATTAAATAATATATATTATTATATAAATACTACACGGGGGGTCATTCCACGTCCTTATTTATTACATCGCGTATATGTACAAATTGGAGGTTGATTACGAAGAATTCGTTCGATTTGCCTCGAAAAAAAGAATCGTTTCAAATTTATAAAAATTCAACGTTAACATTGCAACACTATCATACATGTGATAGTTTTTAATTCGTATAAAACATTACTGCCAAATAAAAATTTGAAAGAGCAATGTTTTGTATGGTTTGTACGAGAACATGTAAATAGAAATTTCTTTTTTATATGATAACTATTGTTTTCCTTTTATTTTTACTTCCACACTTGTTTCTTTCCTTATTTCCTTAATTCATTGACATAATTCAATTTCATTATTGATATTTTCAAAAAGAAACATTTTACAATATAGTATTTTAATTAAATAATTTGGTCTTAATTTTTAATAGAAAATTTAAACGAAAAAATCACGGTTTTTAATCTACTTATCATTGTTTATGCGTGCAATCTCATCACTTTTCACGTGATATATATATAGGTCATGCATCAAATACGATACTCACATTTATAAATTTAAATATTATATATTCTTGACAACAAGATAATATGATTTAAAATTAATAACCATTTATAATTTAACTAATATTTTCAAAATTTTCAAAATCTAATAATGGCTTATTTTATATTTTAAATTGTTCATCGAAAAACGAAAAAATATTTCAAAAGTAACGAACAAAAATATGTTAACAAATTATATAAAATCATACGAAAATTGTATACAAAATCGTATTAATAATTACATCATTTAATTAATTCATACCTCAATTCTTTGATTCTTGAGGTAACGCATTGAACAATTCGTTCGGAACTTATACATGTTTTCATGACAAACACATACAACAACGTATACTACACTATGGTTCCTGCTTATATAGGACTGTTCGTCGTACTATGCAGCCATTCCACCTTGTACCGTTCTCTGGAAGACTAGTTCTTTGTTCCCAAACGGTAAGTATAGCCAGAATTACATAGTTATCGATTCACAAAATTTATACACCAACCTTAACATTTGAAAAAACTTTCCTGTTATTCATATTGCTATTTTATATCATTTGCGAAAGATTATCTTTTTTACGCTACGAATTATTAATAAACAAATTTCGTTTGATAATTCAATTGATTGAATTATCAAGAAGAATTGATAAAACGTAAATTCCAAAACTATTTATTTATTCTTTTTCGATATTGAAGATTTCCAAAAGGAATAAAAATGTACACGCTCAATAATGTGTTAATAAATTTCTTTGAACCTTTATTTCGTTTAACGCAGGATTTATTTTCATTCTTCATTACTTCACATTTTTACGAATTGTCACATAAAAAGTAAAAAAAATGTTGAATCTTTTATATAACTTTTTTATTCTAATAACTTCCATTAAGAAATTATTAAGTTTCAAAGTATACATATAATAAAATAAACCATTTTTTTATTGTCTTCGCCTGTTTCAAAATTTAATAGTAATCCTCTTCATAACATAGAAGAATTTTTATTAAATATCTAATATTTACAAAAGAATTTTCTAATGTCTATGAATAAATATTACATTCTATAAATTTACATAATTAAACATTTATATAATAATAAGATAAATATGAATGAACAGGATTTAAATTTCGATATTACGAAATAAATCTTATGAAAGCATAAATTATAATTTTCTTCGAAAGTTTTTTTATTGTTTCATTTTTAAACATCGCATACTACGAACCAATGAAACATGACGTTACAGAAATTAATGTTGTTTACATTTTTAGAAGAGAGAAAGTATAGTGCCTTTCAATTCAAATGTATAACGAGGAAGTAAAACACTTTCACATTTAATACACTGAATGGTTCGATGTACACTTAATAACTGTTACCTTCATATTTTACAAAAGAATTATATAGTTGACATTAATGAAACTATGTTCAAGATCATTTATAATTTATTCACTAATTATGAATCTAAATCCAATATTAAAAATATTGTAAAAATTGATTATAAAATATTGTAAAAATATAGTAAAAATTTACTATACGAATATAATTTTTTTATCTTTTTTTATCTTTTTATCTTTTCTTTGAATCCAGGTAGAATGTATATTTTATTTTTATTATTCCTGGCTGTTGCCAGTGGCCATACTTTCGATAAACTTTATTCCTGGAAACAAGTTAATTTTAATTTTCCGAATGAAAATATCCGAGAAGCTTACATCAAATCAGGAGATTACATAGAAGAAAATAATTTGCCTCTGGGTCTGGCAGTTTCGAAAGATAAAATGATAATTACTGTCCCTAGATGGAAGAATGGTGTATTCTCTAATTTAAATTATGTATGGTTAAATGACACTAGTGGTAAGTTACAAAATAAAAAAATAATGATATAATAAGAAAAAGATATACGAAAATAATGATAATAACAATAAAAATAAAAAAAATTAATTATTTATAGAATCACCAATATTAACTCCATATCCTGATTTTGAATCGAACGATATAAATATGACAGATAGTATAGTAAGCATATTTCGTGTTAGAATCGATGAATGTAATCGTCTTTGGGCTGTCGATACAGGAATAGATGATATTTATGGTAAATCTACGGTCATACAACCTGCCAGGATCATAGTGTTCGATCTAAATACAGATAAGGTTAATACAAGTAATTTATTTATTCGTATTAGTTTAATATAATGAAATACAAACATAAGAAATTTATCTCTATTATTCAATAATATGATATTATTTTCAAATTAGATCATTCGAAAATATACTTTAAAGGATTCTGATCAAAAACCCAACTCCTTTATAGCTGATCTCGTTGTGGACTCAAAACCTGATGCTTGTGAAGATGCTTATGCTTATCTTACAGATTTTTCAGGCTACGGTTTGGTAGTTTACAGTTGGGCTAAGAATAATTCCTGGAGAATCGAGCACAATTACTTTAACTTCGATCCATTACAAGGTGAGGATTTTTGTAATCTAACGCTTTGCAATGTCATGTTACTTTAAAATCATACACTTATACATTAATATTTTTTAAATCTTATAGTATTATTTTTAGCACTAAAGTAATCATCTCTCTTTCTATCTCCCTCTCTCTTTCTCTCCCTCTCTCTCTCTCTCTCTCTCTCTCTCTCTCGTATTCAAAGATTAATATTTATAAATTATAATTAATATAATATAATTATACACTAGTATAAATTACAAGTATTGTAAGTTTTTCACATTATAGGTATAATTTGTTTTTCAAATATCATAAATATTGTGTGTGGATTACCGTATGTTTACAAATTAAATGTAATATTAAATCATAAAAGAAAAAAGATATAAAGAAAGAAATAATAATGGATTTTTATATTTTGTCGCAGGTGATTATAATATCAGCGGTTATAATTTTCAATGGACCGATGGTCTCTTTGGTCTTGCCTTGACTCCGTTCCAAGTTGACGGATACCGGACTCTTTACTTTCACGCTATGTCTGGAATAACAGAGTTCTACGTGTCAACTGAGGTTTTACAAGATGATACGTTAACCCTATCAAATAATTACCATGCGTTCCACGTTGCTGGAAACAAAGGACCAAAGAGCCAAGGACCTTCGTCGGTTATTGACCAGGAAACTCGAATCGCCTATTTCACTCAAGTACAAAAGAATGGAATAAGTTGTTGGGACACCGATGTGAAATTGACTCCAGAGACGTTTAGTAAGTACACTCTAATTTTATCCAATAATTATAACCAAATCTAAAATCTCCGTTATTTTTTATTTTATGAAAAAAATGCTCAGAACAAATTTACATTTTGTTGAGAGACACACATAAAAAGAATTTTTTTTCACGGTTATCTTTTACGAGATTTCTGGGTTATTAGGATTTTTTTAAATAGAACCTTAAAATTCTTTTTTTTTCGAATTAATTCTTAGAGACATTTTGAGTAAAAAAGTATTGAAGTTTTATGTTAAAAAAAAGTTGAAGTATTTTGAGAAAAAATTTGACGGTTGACGTAACTGTAACAAGTCATATCTTTTTTTGCTTTAAATTTACCAAACAATATCAGAGAAAAGATGGATATATTCATGATTATAATTTTATTACCAATTATCAATTCACGCAAAAATATTTTAGAACTCGTCATATATGAATGTCTTTCCAAACCAAAAATAATTGAGATAATTCAAATGATAATAATTATTAGATCATTCGTAATAATAGATAGATATTTACAATTATTTGTTTAGAAAAAGAGAATATAATATCTACACATTTGGGTTAGACTTAATATTAGACTTAATCAATTATTCCAAAGAGAATTTACGTATATTATAAAATAATTGAAATAAATAAGCAAGATTGTTAGAGAAAATTATGATTACCAGTCGATAGAATTCATAACAAGAAAATAAATTATCAATAATGATAATCGCATAAATAAAGTAACTAGAGACATCGGTGCTATGTACGAACTTATTTTTAAATCAAGGAAATTACAATATCCTGTTGCATAAAAAATATAAATCCTTACGTAAATTGTATGAATTAATTTATGCTCTTTTCATACTTCGTTACGTAAGATCTTTTTCAGAAATCTTAAAAGTATCGATCAACAATGACATTAAATTAAATAATGCTTTTATCCTTAATCATATGCTATTTATCACTGCATACGTAATAGTAATCATTTTTTCTTTCAGTTCTGATAGGCCAAGATAATGAAACAATGGTTTATCCAAATGATTTAGCTATCGATAATGATTCAAAAAAATTATATGTGCTATCTGATAATTTACCTAAATTTGAACGCTCTAATTTAAGTAAGAAAGAAAGTAATTATTTCATTACCGTAGCTTCTTTGGATTCGATTTCCAAATATTGTAAAGCTTAAATTCTGATGTAATTTCAATTACGATAGACATATTTTTTAATCCATTTAAAATACATAAAATGCTTAATTATTAAATATTCGTATATATAATTTCTAAAATAACAAAACTTTAATATGAATGTAAAATGAAGTTCAACTATATATTTTATTTCTTATAATTACTTTTAACGCGTATAAATATAATAATTAATTATTCATTTAAAAATGAAATAATTAAGTGAATTCTAATATTTGCATATTTCACATTTTGAATGATCTATTTTGGACAATTTATTTTTTATGGATAATATATACAATTGTAGACATTGACGTTTCATAATATAATCAAATAAATGTATTATGAATAAAATATTATACTATACAATTTTCTACACTCATTTATACCCGCGTACATTTTTCTAATATAATCAATTAATTGTAAGAATCGTGTAAAATACAAGAATTATAAATTAATATAAGATTATTCACTTATCACATTTAAAACATTTTTCAAGTTATAAATACAAAAACTTTAATATTTAAAAATATTGTTTTTATAGAATTATCTATTTATTATCTTATATTATATTTATTTGTAATTACATAAAATAGGGAATAAAATATAAGATATTTACAAGTAAATTTGTGCACTATCGTACAAAATCTTGAATAAACGCTAAATTTGACTAAACTGGGTGCTAGTTTTTAGATATTTATTAGTTAAAAGTTCAATAAAACAATGTAAAACTAATTAGAGCGTGTGAATTGGTGAGAAATTTGACTTAGAGCTTTTTTAATAGATATTTCTAATACCCGCATCGGCAAAAAATAAGTAACAGCATACTCTACATTAGCAACTACATGTATTATTTATGTGAATTTTTAAAAACATTATACAATATTACTTACTGTCAGACAAAGATTCCATATTTATATATTGAAATCGAACAAATATTCATTGCACTATACGTGTTTAAAAAACACCATTACTTTCAGGGCGTAGTGAGTCACAAATGCGATGTGCTAGACTCTGACATTTCAACTGATAATTTATAGGTGTACATAAGCACTTATCAATAACAAATGATTGAAAAAAACCATTTCCTATATAACCACGTTTTCGGGATTTGGCCAAATTGTGCGCCGTTAGGCTTATAGACGGTCATAAAATAAGTTAATGTTACTACTGATGACTTATCGTTACGATAGTAATCTTATTCACATTAATACAAAAAAAATTATAGGTTCATATATTTGGTTTACGCATTCGGTCGAGCGATCAGTAATCCGAAGCTATTATTCATGTAATTATGCCTGAACGCTTCTAAGGCCATATCCTTTTTAGTGAAAAAAAGCAACGATACCCTTAGGGATATCGTGAATTGAAAGGCTTAAAACAATGTGAAATTATTAGGTGAAGCCACAATAAGGAAATCATTTATTTTCTATGTATTGAAAAGGTAAGACATCTGTGCGAGTTGAAACATTTATTCTAGAAACGTTTATTTTCTACAATTTTCTATTGTTTATATTGTTTTATCTTTATTTTTATTTATATTACTTACCGTTAAAAAATAAAATGACCGTGTCCCAATAGCGGTTCAAACTTTTTTTTACCTAATTGAGTTTTTTCGATGTTTTCGGCGTGAAATATATTCTATGATTAGGATCGAATAACTTCCTATAGAAGACATCTTAAGGGAAACGATTCGATTACCTGTTTTTTTGCGTATGAATCTTCCCTCTAACAGTTGGAGTCTTCCTATTTCTGAACAAAATTTAGTTATACTCGCTTTTGTATAACAAATCGTATGTATATGTTACCGTGAAAACCGAAATTGACGAATGTCAAGATTCAGATGTTCGCTTGTCAATACATATTAAAATTAATTAATATGTGTAGAAAATAGTAATTGTATTTGCACGGTGTGAGAGCCGGGAAACAAAAAAGACCGCGCTTAGCGTATAGCAGAAACCTCGGTAGTAGGAAATGCTCCCATTGGCTGCTTGTCGGGTGTTGCGCATGCAGTGTTCTCATTATGCCAGACGTTGAGTGTAAAGCTCCTTTACACGTTCATGAAAGAGCTCCGAAATGTGGGATGCTTTTACACGACTGTATTTACTAGCGCCATCATGTGACCATCTTCTATACTAATCATTCTTCTTCCACCTGTTTTCTATAAAATATTTTACACTCTCAACCATTCTTTGTATCATTTGCCCTTATGTATTACTATTAGTTTAATGCTTGATATGTTAACATAATATACAAGTTTTTTTTTTATAATGATAAAAAATTAGATATAACATAAGTGTATCTCTAAAGCGAATCTTTAAAGATAATAATTTAACTTTTAAATAGACTAATTAAAATAACTATTTTTTATTATATAAATTATAAATAAATTTCTAATAAATATGATTGTAGTTTTATATGTTGCTCTGTTAACGAGTTACGTTACATTAACATCATGTGAAATATTTACAACGATAGGAGTAATAGGTATTACCACTACCATAGGATCTTATTACTATAAGCAAATTCATTGCAGCATTACTGAATGCTGTTCAGATGAATATGTCAAACTTGATGTGGCAAGTACGTATGAATCGCATATTACTTATCCTTACAAGTTATAAAAGAAATATTAAGAAATGTTTTTGATTTCAACCTTCTTATATTTACATCTTTCCTTAGGGCTTGACAAACTTATGCAAAATAAGCTGTACGGTCAGCACATTGCTTATAAAACAATATTAAATGCATTATATGGTTATTCAAATAATAAAGAACAAGGAAAAGCATTAACATTAAGTTTTCATGGTCCTCCAGGAACTGGTAAGAATTATGTAGCCAAGTTTATCGCAGAATCCTTATTCAAAAAAGGGATTGAAAGTAAATTCTTTCATTTTTTTAATGGTAGAACTGATTTTCCATTAAAAGATGAAATTGAATTTTATAAGGTGAATAAAATAATTAATATCAACATTATTGCAACTAAAGAAATAAAAGATATTAAATTTTAATTATAACCTACAAAATATAGGTAGTACTGCAGAATAAAATCAAAGCTGCGTTAACAGCTTGTCCAAGATCATTATTTGTTTTTGATGAAGTAGATAAAATGCCAGAAGGAATACTAAATATTCTTGTACCTTTCTTGGATTATAATTCATGGCCAACAGAAAATCTAGAAAATAAAGCAATTTTTATATTTTTATCAAACACTGGTAGTAGACAAATTGTACAAAGGTTATTAAATCTTTGGGAAAGTGGTGTAAAGAGGAATGATACTAGGCTTCAAGATTTTGAAAATTTAATATCCATCGGAGCGTTCAATGAAAAAGGAGGATTTCATCTTAGCGATACTATAGAAACTAGTGTTATTGATCATTATATTCCTTTTCTTCCATTGGAACAAGAAGACGTTAAAAAGTGTGTAATAATGGCATTTAAGAAAAGAGGAGTTAAAGCAACTACAGAAATGATAGAGGAAGCTTTATCGCATTTGACATTTGATCCACCGCCTCATAATTTATATTCCAAATCTGGTTGTAAAAGAATAGAACAAAAAGTAACTATTTTACTGTACTCTTATGTAAAATAATCGTTTTTTATTATATTTATCTTAAAAAGTATTAAGAAAATCTTTAGAATTTAATACATTCTGTGCTACATGTAGCATATATAGTATACAATGGCATATTTATTTATACCCATTATTATGAACGTGGTCTAAGTCATATATCTCTTGTTTCGAGATATTTAAAGGATTATATTTGAACACTAAATAAAAACTATATAATGTAATGAAGACTCTATAGCTAAACGAAATTTAAATGCAGTATCGCATTTGAAATGTCCCAGAGAAGAAAAGTCAAATACAAGTAATAAATAAACTCATAATATTCAGTAGATTTATTTGATATTGTTTTTTATCTTTGAATATGTCCACAAATTCTGTGAAAAAGTAATAAGAAAACGTATAAAATATAAGTGGAGAATATTAAAAAGAGCGAAATTCTGAGTCTAAAAATGAGCAAATTGAAAGTGAGCATGATTTGTTTGATATTGAGGAGTAAAAAATTTGGAACATCCGTAGAGGACAAAAGCATCGAAGATTTTTATTTAATTCCAAAAGGGAAAATGATCAAAATTTCCAGAAAATTAAAATGTCTTTAGATGGACTATTTGGCAACAAATAAAATAAAGTCAAATGATTAAGAAACTAACAGTATTTTAAATTTGCAAGCTTTATCAAATACTTTTTTCACAACAAAAAACAATTCTGACTCTTTGACAACAAACGAAAAAACAATTTTAGTGGTTTTTTTTTTATACTGTTTTAATATTAGTTTTCAGTTGTTTTTTCATCAATAGCATTTTTCAAAAATCCCTTATCTTAAGGTGCAACCCCTTGGTGACGCTTGACGCTGATTTTCAGCGTTAAATTATGGCTCTATCAAGCTAAAATAAGTAGAGTCATGTCCAGCGGAAAAAAAATGAGCAACAAAAAAGTTCATTAATATTGAAAGTCGATATCTCGAGATATACTTAAAGTCCCTAACCTCCTTTTTAATATTATTGTCATAATTATCGTTTATTACATATATAAACAAATACTTACATCCTCAAAGAGTTTCATTCCTTTTGATTGAATTATTGAAATATATTTAAATAAGAATTATTTTTGTTTAATGTTTTGAATTTTAAATTTCTTTATTAATAAACAATACAGCTATTTTCAACTTACCAATGTAGATTATTTTAATTATGAATTGACGCTGAAGCCAAATAAAAAGCTTATTTGCGTTTAACTTTTTACAATTTAACGCTCAACATTACTCCACTTATTTCAGCTAGATAGAGCCTTAATTTGACGCTCAAAATCAGCGTCAAGCGTCACCATGGGGGTTTAGGAAAAAGAATACAGAAGTACATAGAAGCTCACAAGTCCCATTTTTATCTACTTAGTTTCATTTTTGTTATAACCAGAACTACCAATGGGCGATAGTATGTACAATACTGTATTCTTTGATAGAATTGTACCGTCACCACGTTAAGTACAGCACAAAAAAGTTGGCATAGAAACGCAACTGCAAAAAAAAAAAATATTAATTGCTCACTAATTGCTCAATCAAAATGCATAATTTCTCACTTTAATTATTAATTATTTAATTAGTTATTAATAATTTCAAAATAAAAAACATTTTTTCTCATTTCTAAGCAAAGCAATGAAGTTTGTTATTGTTTTTTCTTTTCAATCAATTGCTCACTTTTTGTTTGTCCGGCTCCTATAAAAACTTTATTATATTAAATACTTTTTATTTATCGATAATTAGTTGCAAATAATTATTACATAATTATTACGGTAGAATACTATCAAAGAATATTGTATTCTTTACATTTTATTCAATACAATATTCTTTGATAGTATATATAGTATAGTTATATTGTAAAAAGATTTTAAATAATTATATTTGATTTTTAGTCTTTAAATACGTGTGTACCTTCAGAAATGCGTTTTTTATACATATATATTTTAAAAAGTAGAAGAAAATCTAAACGAGTAGATGATAAATCCAACGATGATCACCTGTAACAAAAAGAAAACTATATTAATCATACAATCAAGTGATACAACAGTCTAACATACAAATCGTCCAGTTCGCAGAGATGCACTTTTCAACTGAATTTTTTATTTATTTTTATCGAATCTCTATTTATCGTTGTAATGAAATTAAATTTAAACGCGTGATTTTACATTTACATAAAATATATAAAAATAAAAAAAATAGGAAAATTACAAATATTAAGTTACTACAAAAAATAATATCTATTAATTATTATGAAATACTTTTAAGCTGCATTAAATAGAAAAAAAATTGCAAATTTAATAAAATACGATCAAAATGAAAAATTTTAAAGACGAAACAAGAAAAAAGAAATTACTGTAATATTTAATAACTAAACGTTACTTAAGCTTCAAAATTTAATATTACGAAAATTTTAATATTTTTGACTCTAACTAACACATATGCATCTTTTGGACGATATAAACACGAATTTGGTGTCCCAAGGAGATGGAATGGTCCATCATCTCCAATTACAACTACAAATTAATGACGAGCAAAAAAATAATATAATAAAATATGACTAAAGAGCTATTCTCGAAAAGTTCTAACTTGCTGTTGAACCTTTGAAAATAACTCAATAGTCTATGCAGTTGCCCTCTTGAGCCACAATTAAGTGGGGGCCTCTTCGGCATTAGCCTTTTCTTTCTTCATGCCCTAAACACTGCAGTGAGACTTTTTTTAACATTTACTCGAATGCCTCAACAGATATTTGATCTACTCGATGAACCTATTATTAACACTTAGCATTTAACAAATTAAATAATATCAAACAAAAGCAGAAACTTTGTAATACATCTTATGGTCTTACTTTTTTACTCGACTACTTTTATCTTTTATCTTTATTCTACTTTGTATTTACTATACATATATAAAAAATAAAGTATTTTCAGTAGGAATTACTAAACAGCAAAGTGTTAATATACTTAATATTAATGAAGTATCCAACGTATTCAACTATCTTCATTTTTTCTTAAAAAATTAATTTTTAAGAAAACGCAAAGACTTTTGAATCGTTCGATACTGATTTATATCTCGCGATACAGAGCATCAGTAATATATGCAAAAAATACAAGAAATATTTAAATGATAAATGAATCTAAAGTTTGCTGAAACTTTGTATAATACCCGGAGAAGGAATTGTCCACTCCTGAGTGGAAATTACAATCGCGCGACTTCTCCGGTCTCTACTTACTTACAAATTAAATAAATTCACACCTAAGTATGCTACCTGCTTGTCTATTACCCATATTTAAAAAGATCAAATATACATACATACCCACCCACTCACTCCACGACTCTCTCACATACCACCAGGGTGCAAAAGCCTAAACTAGAGAGCATGCCCCGGGGCACCTCTGACACCCAAGTTCAAACGCGTGTTTTCTAAACTTATGGGAGTACGTACCAATGCTTTAATCGTCTGCCAAGGCTAGTGATTATTGCATAAATGACTAATGCAAAAATACATGTATAAACTAGTATATATGCATACTAGTTATATACGAGTATAT